GAAGAATAGAGGAGAGCAAGAAAAGAGATACCTTAATAGAAAGGGCCTTTATAGATTTAAAGAGAAACCTGGCACCAGGGAAATGAAAAGCAAGAAATCCAAGTTCTTCTGGCTACTGAAAATAGTGAGGAGAAAGACCAAATCCCTGATTGCCCCATTATAGCAAGCTGTATTTTTGAGGTGCACCTGGGACTGGCCAGTTGGTTGTCTCACCTTGTCAGGATTTGAGACAGCAGCCCCTGCTGGCTTCTTGAGGTCCCTTTTATAGGAGAGATAAACTGTTTACAAAGGAGAGGTGGCTGTTACACATTGTTAGAAAGATACAATGAAAGGAAAAAACAAGGGTTAGGATGTACATCATGGGAATCGGTCTCACATTTTGTGTAAGTCTTAAAACATGTGTTTTAGTACACACCAGATTTACAAAACAGGAACCCTTTTTTTTCTTTTATAAATACTAATAGAAACTACATTTTTTATATTTTTTACTTTTTCTTTCCTCCTTTATTCTTCATTCATACATGGCAATCAGACCATAGCCTCCCCTCTCTTCACTATCTTTCCCTGTGTCCCCCCCAAAAGAGCAGGCCTCCAAGAGACAGCCAAACAGCACAATAAACCACAATAAGACCAGGCATATACTACAAGGCAAGAGAGACAGCCCCTGCTCCCACTGTTAGGAATCCCATAAGAAAACAAGCCACTCGGCCAGATATGCAGAGGAACTATGTCAGAGCCCTACAGGATCCTTGTTCTCTGCCAACCCCCATGAGTCCCGGTTAGTTGATTCTGTGAGCCATGCAGGAACTTACTCTTAATTTCAAATAGAAATTATAAGTTGCAAGGACTTAAAGCAACACAAGCAGGAATTTATTAACTGTGGATAGACACCTTAACTTGCAAGGCATATTTTTCCCATTTTTGGTTTACCATTAACTTGTAAGGTATATTGTTCCTGTGTTGGTCTTACACTACAAAAATTTTTACTGTAACATGGCTCCATCCCTCTGCTACATGTTGACCAGAATTGCTTTCACACTGAAATGGCACAGTTTAGGAAAAGCCTAAGAGACTTAGATGGTGCTCTCTCATCACACACTCTTGTCATTTTCGCCCAGCTGTTTGGAACACTATAAACTATAATGACCATGTTGCAATCTCCAGCACTGTGGTTGTCTCGAAGATCACAATATTTCTTTACTTTCAGCACCAGTATCCAACATGTCAAAATAAGAAAGTCAGTAAACTTTAAGTACCATGTGTTAAAGATACAGACGAGTAAAGATTATCTTATTATAAAATTAGATGGCAAAGTTTGATACTTAACATGCAATGATACAATCAATGTCCTAAAAGAACATTTTTATGCACTGAGATTAACAAAGACTTCATCGGGATATTTTTCACCCATAGGATTTAGTGGCTAGAAAAATTTAAAATAAGGTAATTCATCATGGCAGAACATACCATAATAAAAAGATGAAAATTTCACCCAAGGCACAGCAACCCAAGCCTTTTACCAGAAGTAACCAATGGTAACCTACTTTTGTTTGGTTTTATCACAGATGAAGTAATGTGCCCACAGTCAACTTGCTTAAGACTATTAATTTTTTGGCAAGAACATTTGAAGAATGGAGAGCACTAAGGAACATCAAAAGCCAATAATAGTAATTAAAAACAAGAGAAATGGTATCCCTTGGGTATTGATGAATCAAGGATTATAGTGTATTTGAGGAATTAATGCCAGGGAGGAAATGACTGAAGCAGTGGTCTCCAAAGTTTTTATGGAACATTACAGGCAAGAATGCTTTCTAAGAAGCAGGGATTTCACACAGCCTACAGCAGAAGCTGGCAATAGCTGTCACTGGGGGTAATAAAATTATGTTTGGTACAACAGTGTTGACTAGACTTATAAACCTTATGAAAATGTAAGGTGTATACAACCTGTGTTTGTCTGCAGTGTCATTCATCAGCAGTGTCTTTGTGAAATGCATTTCATTCAGTCTTGTGTTATTGAACCAGGAATGTCAACAGTGACCTTTGTCTGTTCTCACAGTTTATACATCCTTGTAGGGTGGTGGTTGCGCCCATCTTCAATCCCAGCACTCAGGAGGCAGAGGCAAGCAGATCTTGGTGAGTTTAAGGCCACCCTGGGCTACAAAGTGAGTTCCAGGACAGCCAGGACTGTTACACAGAGAAACCCTGCCTCTAAAAACCAAATGAATGAATGAATGAATGAATGAATGAACGAACGAACATTGAATATCCTGATTACCCAGAGCATTAATGGGCTGAATTTTATGACAGTTTGTTTTGAGCTCAAGGCTAATATATCCTGAAATACTATAAAAATGAATGTATCATACTGAATGGCTTAAGCCTTTGCTGCAGATCTGATACTGTTTTACAATAAATTCAACCCAAAACTGTAGGGCAAATAATACTTATATATGAAACACATTTAAACACCTAGTTTTTTTATAGCAAGGCCTGTGTCCTCACATAAAGCTGTAGTTCAAATTAGTTTCAGAACCATGTCAGGGGCCTTGATACAAATGTAAACGTAACTTCCATTTCTAAATCTGCCCAAGAATGTGATACAGGGGCTTCTATGCAACCTTTAATTGGAAGTGATTAATCTATCACATGCTAAGAGAAACATATCAAGAGAAAAAAAATCAATCTAACCAAAACTTCCATCAATGTCTTCCTGCCAGGTAATGAACATGGGTCATAAAAACCATTTTTTCACTTACCCATGTAAATATTTGGTAATGTCTATCTGTAAAAAGACTCTCTCACTCACTTTCTCTCGAGAGAATGAGACTTAGAGAGAGAGGTTCGTATTATAGACCAGTGTCAGCAAACAAACTCTTGAGGGTTTGTGTATGTCCGGGTAAGTGGTGCATATGTGCTGAAGATTGAACATAGGAACTCACACACACTAGGAAAGCTCTTTGCCACTAAACTGCCATCCTTAGTTCCTGTAATTAATTTTGGGGTTAGAACACAATTAAGTGAAGTCTTCCCATAATGTATTTAATTCTTTTCATTTGTAGAGCCATGTTGCAAAAGGTTTCCAATTTTTCCTCTAAGCTACCAAAGCCTCCCAGTCACTTTGTAGCCCTACAACAGGTTTCCTGGCCTCTGCTCTAGAACAGAAGCCACACCAAACATTTACAAAGCACAGGCTAAATGACCTGTGTTTTCATGTTGGCTTTGTCACCAGCTGATCATCCTTGCTCATTAAGCTTTTTCCTGCTGAAGTTTCCTCATTTGTAGATATGGGTAAGCGATGGCATAAATTTTATAGGGTTAGTATAAGGATGAAGTGAACTAGTAAACACAAACTTGGTAGCAGTGCTTGGCACAAGCTGCAGGGAAGGTGAGCTATAAGCTCAAGATAAAAGCTTGTAATCAAACACACATTTCCTACTCATTGGATAAAACATCAGAAATGTTTGCATTCATTCAGAGACAAATATGAAAATATAAAGTCCTACCCAGTGCATGAAGATGGGAGCTAACCAAAACTTTGCCCACCATTCTTGTCTCCATCAAATAGAAGACCAGGCAGAGCATACTGCAATGTCACCAGGGTGATAATTCTCAGACCCCTCATTTCAGTAGAGACCGTGTTAATCTTTTTACTACTTTAAATTTCATATTACATTCTTTATAGTCTAAATAAGAATAAATACAGTAATAGGAATATATGATATTCACACTTTTTAAATGTGACAACTCAAAATACATACATTACTTGTTAAATAAATATATGCTGAATGCCTGCCATTTGCTTATGTATAAATTTACTGATTAACACCTTTGAAGGAAAAAGTGCCCTTATATATGTACTAGTGAGAGTTAGAAGTGACTTATACTATGAAAAATTTCAGTTATTGCTATCCAAAAAGCTTTCTGCAATGATGAAAATATTCTACACCCACATGTCCAACATGGTAGCTACAAGCTGGCTGCATTCATGTAATGAGCCACTGAGATGTGGGCCATGCAAATTGAGGGACAGCATTTTAAATTAAAATACAATTAAATGGATAATAAGACAACATAGACCTACGGGATTACTGCAGGGCACATGGAAGTTGCAATATCACATTTCTGCCTTGAGTAGAAAACCCTGTTACACTATAGGGTTATTAGGGTCCTACATCTGAAGGCCAGGAAGCATTTTTGTCTACTTTCTAAAGAGGAAAATTCAACCAATTCATCATGTAACAAATTCTTCCTCTCCTCCTGACCCTGAACTACAGCTAAGTTCTAACTAAGTTTCGAAACACAAAAAAGGATAAATGAAATCCACACATATGTTGTTATACATGTAACTGAGCAGCCTTGAGTGAAGCCCACATATATGTTGTTATATAACTGAGCAACCCTAAGTGTAATCCACATATTTGTTGTAATGCATGTAACTGAGCAGCCTTAAGTGAAGTCCACATAAATGTTGCTATAAATGTAACTGAGCAGCTTTCAGCCTCAGAAGCAAGTCTTTAGGGTGACTACACAGTAGCTGGAGAAGGGCTTCACTTGGCAGTTTATTTCTTGTACTCTGACATGCCTGTGTTTTTATATGTCCAGCAGTCAAAGAAAGATGCAAAGAGAAGTGAGAAAAGCACTGATTTTCCAGCTGAACAATTAATATATCAGCTTTAAAAAAAATCTCACTTGGGAGTTAAGAATCTGCATGATGCTGGGTTTGAAGCTAGCCTGGGTGACACAGCAAGCCTTGTCTCAAAATAAATAGCCAAACAACAATAAAACCAATTATATTTTAAAACAACAGTCCCTGACAGAAACAAGTCTCTTCAATTTATTATTTTCACTTAATTTCTTGTTGTTTTGGTGCTAGGTGAGCTCTATGACTCTGAGCTCTTTTCTCAGTGTAGCTAGTTTTAACTGGCTCTCCCAATTTTGTATACAGCAAACAAAACACTTGAGAGGTCAGAAAGTTTAAAAAAGACTCTTTAAAAAGAGGAGATGTGCAAAATCAACTTTATTTTTCATAAATATTATGATTATTTTATTGTTCAAAGTATTCCTTTAAAATAAATTAGAGTATTTCCATATTATTCCTCTAATATACAATTATTGATTAAAGCATACCACTGACCAACATAATTCAAAATAACATCACGAGTCACACATTCCTAAAGAAAAGTGCCTGCAGTATTTTAAAGAACATTCTTTACATTCTTTATACTTTAACTTGATTTAATGAGCAATTTTACATTTTCCTTTAAATTCTACAAATGTCTTAATTCTCACTATTTAAAAAACTAAGCAAAACAAAGACAAAGCCATCTCCCAAATAAACACCCACCCCCAAGCATGTTGATTGTAGTGACAGGACAGTTATGAAGTCACTGAGTAAAGCTCTTTTTTATGAACACTTTCGGGAAGCTAGCATTGAGTTCTAACACAGCCCTGTTATCAATCTGGGAACAGAAGGACACATCGAGGAGGGAAAGATCTTTGCAAGACTCCAGGAGCTTTCGCAATGACGCTGGACTTACCATTCTTGTTCCTGTTTAAGAAAAGAAAGGTCTATTAAAAACACAAACATAGGTCTATTAAAATGTACTAATGAGTTTCTTCATTTCTATTTTAAGCTTATATGACATAAGTAAAATTTTAAAGCAAAGCATTTTTAAAACAATATGTTAAATGGTTTTGCTTAACAAAAGAAAAACTGAATATTCTCAGACAATTTGACAATGAGAACATGAACCTTGTCAATTCCCTACTATCTACTACTTCCATTCCTACTTTAACACCTTCTGATTGTCCCCTCACTTCCCCCCATCTTCACCCCAGTGCACAAGGCTATTCACATCTCACCTCACTTAACCCATGATCAACCCATCTGCTGCCCATTTGACAGGGAAGCTGATAGATAATTCACCCTCTAATTACAACTGAGCAACTATCCCAACAATCCTGAGCATCTGTGTTAGGCCTGGAGATGGAAAGATGAGTAAGACATATCTGCCTATGGAACTACTGAGCAAGGCATAAAATAAACTACACAACACACCCACTGTCTTATAATGGGAGGGTGGAAGACAGATAAAGGATGACAAGTGATTTCTGCCTGTGTTAAATTTGGATATCCCGTTGGAAGCTAAATTAATAAATTATGAAAAGCATCTAATATACAATAGGCACTTAGTAAATATCATATATTACATAAGTCTAAGCAATACTCATAGAGAACACACCCTGATTTAATTACAGCTTTTCTGGGAGAAAAAAAAATCACTATCATAATACATATGCACATTGACTGGCAGAGACATTAGGATCTGTGTTATTTGTTTATTTATCTATTTATTTACTTATTTTCTGTAGTGCTGGATCAAACCAAGAGACTTGTGTACGCTAAACAAGTGCTCTATGCTAGTCTACAGTTCCACACCAGGATAACACAAACCTCATTCTGTGTAACTCTTTTCCATACCCCTTACTCTGGTGGGCTCCCT